GTCTCGCCAAGTTGCCCAGGCAGGTCTCGAACCCACGGACTCAGGCAATTCACTCACCTCGGCCTCCCAAAATGTGGAATTACAGGCTGAGCCACCGAACCCAGCTTGGAATATCAATATTAAACCATGTAGTCCTGTACCTTACAGTGCCACAGAGGTAGCACAGGGATGTGGGATCTAATGGCCTGGCCACAGGTCCTACTCCCCCACCCCCATAGGTTTTCCCATCTCCTTTCCACTGTGGGACAATTTCTCACCTTTTGGTCTTTTTGGTCTTCTTTCACAATCTACTAAACAAAAATAGTAATAATAATGCCATCTCTGCTGGCTCACACCTGTAATCCCAGCACTTTGGGAGGTGGAGGCAAGAGAATTGCCTGAGCCCTAGGGTTCAAGACTAGCAGGAAACTTGGTGAGACCTCATGTCTACAATAAATTAAAAAATTAGCCATGTGTGGTGGCACGTGCCTATAGTTCCAGCTACTTGGAAGACTGAGGCAGAAGGATCACCTGAGCCCAACAGTTCAAGACTACAGTGGCTGTGAGTGTGCCACTGCACTCTAGCCTGGGTGACAGAGTGAGACTACAACTCAAATAATAATAATGCCATCTCACATGGTAGTAAAACATATCCTTCAATCCTCAGATCAACTCTATGAGGTGGAAATTATCCTCCCATTTTGCAGATGAGAAAACAGGGGCTTGAAGAAGTAACATGACTTGTCTATAAGCTAGTAAGTGACTGAACCAGATTGGGTCCCAAAACTTGTGACCACAGCACTGCATTGCCTCAAATGAAACAGCACTAGCCAAGGCAAGAAAACCAACTGCGCTGTAGTGTGTGAGGAGTTCAAAAATCCCAAACCTGGAAGGATGGAGACTTTCTCAAGGAATGAGTATTAGCAGGGAAAAGTTGGGAAGGGTTCCCTAAAACTCTATGAAACTAACAGAGAATATTCCTAAGTGCATATCTCTAGAAAATTTCCCTTCTAACTCTTTTACCCCATTCACTATTCCAAACCATTTTTAAACGTAACACCTATTCTGTGCCTGGCATGGTGCTTAGCACTAGACTTAGAATTCCTGACCTACAACAGTTGCAGTCTTGGGTAGAAGACAGGGGACCCAGTCTGCAGCTACTATTTGATTAATGTAAGTCTTTGCTAGTGCAATGCAGAGGTGCCCCACCCAGGGTTACTGGAGAGAGCTGAAATGGACTGAGGGTGTCTGCGGGTTTTCAGGAAAGAAGTCTCAAACTGCACTTTGTTTTTGTTTTGTTTTGTTTTGTTTGAGTTGAAGTCTCACTCTGTCGCCCAGACTGGAGCGCAGTGGCCCCTCCTGGCCACCGCAGCCTCGCCCGCTGGGCTCCGGTGCTCCTTCCACCTCAGCCTTCCAAGGAGCTGGAACTACAGGCACACGCTACCACGCCCGGCTAATTTTTTTGATTTATTGTAGAGATGAGGTCTCGCCAAGTTGCCCAGGCGGGTCTCGAACCCGTGGGCTCAGGCAATCCACTCACCTCAGCCTCCCAAGGCGTGGGATTACAGGCTGAGCCACCCAGCCCGACTCTCCAGGATTTCTTTCTAACAATCCCTTGCCTTTGCATTGAGCTCTGTGGCCTGCTGAGCTCCTGTACGGGAGATGGGGTTTTCCAACCCCCATTTTACAGAAGAAGAAGCTGAGAACCAGGAACCCTGTGACTAAGCTAGGTGGCATAGCTGATAAGTGATAGGAATGAAAATTTAACCCAGCTCAGTGTGCAACCCTCCTTCTCCCCACCCCCTGCTGTCTCTGAGCTCTGCAGTAAGGGAAATACCAAGGGAGGTCAGTGCGCCATTCATGCCCCCACTTGACCTACAGAGCAGGCCCAAAGCCTTGAACCAAAGGCCTCCAGCTCAAGGCCCACTCAGTTGTGGGTTGAGTGAGAGCAAATGTTCGCGTAGGTAGGAGCTTCATGTCAGGATGAACCAGCTGCAAAAGTGGAGTACAAGGCAGGATCCAGGCAAGAGTTGAAGAGGTGGGCCCGCAAAAAGACCCAGGCCAGTTGGGCAGATAAAAGTTATCATAGCCAGGCTCAGTGGCTCAGCCTGTAATTCCGCACCTCTGGGAGGCTGAGGTGAGTGGATTGCCTGAGCCTGAGGGTTCGAGACCCGCCTGGGCAACTTGGCGAGACCTCGTCTCTACAATAAATCAAAAATGAGCCGGGCGTGGTAGCGCGCACCTGTAATTCTGGCTACTCGGAAGGCTGAGGCGGAAGGATCGCCGGAGCCCCATGGGTCGAGGCTGCGGTGGCCGGGAGCGGCCACTGCACTCCAGTCTGGGCGACAGAGTGAGACTCCAACTAAAAAAAAAAAAAAGTTATCATATATGCTGTGCATGGTGGCTCACGCCTGTAGTCCCAGCACTTTGTGAGGCAGTGGTGAGAGGATTGCTAGAGACCAGCCTGGGCAACTTGGCAAGACCTCATCTCTATGATAAATAAATAAGTAAATAAATAGCCTGTCATGGTGCAGCCATGTGGCCTGTATTTTCAGCTTCTTGGAAGGCTGAAGCAGACGGGTCGCCTGAACCCAGCAAGTCAAGGCTGTGGGGGCCGTGAGCATGCCACCGCACTCCAACCTGGGCAACAAAATGAGACTTCAACTCAAAAAAAAAAAAAGTTAGCTGGGCTCGGTGGCTCAGCCTGTAATCCCGCGCTTTGGG